CTCAATGAAGAGTTTTTAAATTGGGAGAAAATTGTGGCAGGTTGTGACTGGTGATGTGTTGTCATCTCTGCATCCGTCTCTTTCAGGAGATCCCAACCCCACACCACAAGCGCTTACAACTGACGTCGATAAATTGGAGGCTATGATTGGGATAGTAAGAACCTTCAGATTCTTACTTGGTTACTTAATACTTCAGTCCTTGCTATTCAAGTACAACTTGCTCCGTTTGACAGTGCAACGGAGGCTTGAAATTTTTTGGCTGCTCGATTTCAGACTACAGGCTTGGCTCACTATTATCAACTTTGGAGCACCTAACATTCCACCAAGCAGCAACCGGGTCAATCGTCCAATGAGTTTCTTGCACTAATTCAACCTATCTGGTATCGTCTCCGGCATGCTGAGATTAGTCGGATCACCTTGATTTTATTCTGATTGATGGTTCTTCATCCGGAGTATGAAGCTGTTCGTGCTTCTATATTACATCGTCATCCACTGCCTACTTTTGATGCTGCTATTCAAGAGATCACTTTTGAGGAGACTCGTCTTCAGTTGGCCACGACACCGCAGCTTGAGTCTGCATTAGCTATGTCTACTACTGCTTTCGCTCTGTCACATCAGCCTCAGCCACCAGTCTCTGTTTATTGTAGGCGTTGCAAGAGCTCTAGTCACCCTTTTTCCATTTGTCCTAAAGTGGAGTGTCACATTTACCATGCTCGGGGTCATATTGCTCTGAGTTGTCCAGCCAAGTCAAAACGTTCGGAAGGTTCATTTTCTCGTTTTCGAGGGTCTCGTGGGACTTCTTCATCGACCCCTTCTTCGGTTACAGCAGCTGTCACTAATGAGTCTCAGCACACATCTTATAGTCTTCAAGACATATAAGCTATTCTCAAACAGGTTATCCATTCTAATTCTGTTATGTATGCTACCGCAGGTAATCCTCATTGGTACTTTGATTCTGGTTGTTGCAATCACATGACCTTTAGTCCACAGTTTTTGTCTTCATCATCTTTCGTAACTTCTTTACCTCCTATACATACTGCCAATGGTACTCATATGAATATTACTCACACTGGTCTGGTTTATTCCCCTTCTTTACACCTTCCCGACACATGTTTCATTCCTGACTTGGCCTTGAATCTTATTTTTGTCAGTCAATTGGTTGAACAAGGCCTTAATGTTATATTTTCATCTTCTGGTGTTCAGGTTTAGGATACACAGACAAGCCGGCTTCTCGGGACAGGTCACAAGGTGGGAGTTATTTGAGCTTGAGTCTCTTCATATCTCTCGTTCTTCCTCATTTTCTGCTCTTGTGACTGATAATAAGTCCAGCTTTCAGTGGCATCTTCGTCTTGGGCATGCGTTTTCAAATAAAGTATGTTCTTTATATAATAAAGGTCTTTTAGGTCCAGGTCATTTTGAGTCTTTTAGTTGTCTTCATGGTAAACTTGGGAGGCACTCCGCTCTTTCTTTTTTGAGAATTCATCAACTGATGATAAACCTTTTGGTTTGGTGCATTTTGATATTTGGGGTCCTTCTCCAGTTGCTTTTATTAATGGTTTTCGGTACTTTGTTATTTTTATTGATGATTTTTCTCGTTTTACCTGGATCTATTTTCTCAAACATCGTTCTGAGTTGCTCACCATATATATTCAATTTGCTAGAATGATTCACACACAATTTTCTTGTCCTATAAAGGTCTTGCGTACTGACAATGACCTCAAGTACAAGGATTCTACCTTTTTAAAAATTCTTTTTGATCAGGGCACAATAGTTCGACGTTCATGTCCTTATACTTCGAAGCAAAATAGACGACCTGAACGTAATCATCGCCACATTCTTGATACTGTTCGTGCTCTTCTCCTGGTAAATGTCCTGATCGTTTCTGGGGTGAGGCAGTCAAGACTGCTATTTATGCTATTAATCAATTACCCTCATCAGTTATTCGAGATATCAGTCCTTTTGAAAGGTTGTACGGCCAGTCGTCTGATTATACTCAGTTATGCCCTTTTAGTTGTGTCTGTTTTGTTCTTCCCCCATCCATGAGCAGAACAAATTAGAACCTCAAGCTTGTCTGTGTTGTTTTTTGGGTTATGGGGTATATCACAAAGGGTTTAGGTGTTGGGATCCTATTGCTAATCGGTTGCGTATTTCGCGTCAAGTTACCTTTTGGGAGCATACTACTTTTTCTTATTTGTCTAAATTTCATATTTCGTTTGATTCATCGTCTCCTTTCTTGATGTCCATTATTTTGGATCTCTTTCCAGATACTTGTCCTGACTCACAGCTCATTTACACACCTGTCATGTCTCCGTCTTCTGAAGTGGCTCCACCTGCGCATCTTGAACCGACGCTTCTTGTTGAGTCCTTTTCAGGTTCTGTTCCTTCGATCCTCAGCGGTATCTCTTCTTGGCGGCATCAGGAACGTACTGGACTCTGATGATGTAGCGCACCTCGAACGATAGGGAAAAGAGATAAAAATCTCACGCAAATAATTTCTTATTCAACAAAAACTGATCGTCTAACCTTTTGCAACAGAATAAATAGACTCCAACATTCTAAATCCTTATCTTGTTAAAAAGAAAAGGATTATTAAATACGATCCTCTTCAACTTTAGGATATTTAATTATTTTATTATCATAGTTATTTATGTTATTTGTTTGCTTTATTTAATTTGAAAACAATCCTTTTCTTGTTTACCAAGATAAGGATTTAAAACGTTGGAGTCTTTTTATTCTGTTGCAAAAGGTTAGACGATCAATTTTTGTTGAATAAGAAATTATTTGCGTGAGATTTTTATCTCTTTTCCCTATCGTTTGAGCTGCGCTACATCATCTACCATTAATCATCAACGATCAACTCGTCTAAGTCGCCCCCTTTTTAGTTACTTGACTATCATTGTTATTCGGCCATACTATATCATCATGAGCCTAAATCTTTTCGTGAGGCGAGTGCTGATCCTATTGGAAACAAGCTATGGCTGAGGAATTGCAAGCATTGGAGAAGACTCATACTTGGGATTTGGTGGATCTACCTACTAGAAAGACACCTATCGGATGCAAATGGATTTATAAGATCAAGGAAAATTCAGATGGATCTATTGAGCGCTACAAAGCTCGTTTGGTTTCCAAAGGGTACTCACAGGAGTACGACATTGATTATGAAGAGACCTTTGCATCAGTTGCTCGTCTTACTACTGTTCGGTGTTTACTTGTTGTTGTTGTTGTTCGTAGATAGTATCTTCTACAGTTAGATGTCAAGAATGCCTTATTGCACGTGCTTTATCAGAGAAGGTTGACATGACTCCTCCTCGAAGGTCCTCGTCCTCTGGGAAGGTTTGTCATCTACGTCGAGATTTTTATGGTTTGAAACAAGCGCCTCGTGCCTGGTATGCTATGTTCAGTTCTGCATTGTTTCAATTTGGTTTCACTACGAGTGATCACGATTCTGCTTTGTTTCTTCGGCGCTCCTCACCTGGGATCATTATTTTGCTTCTCTGTGTTGACGATATGAACATCACGGGAGATGATGTTATCGGTATTTTTGATTTGCAGGACTATCTTTGTCAGCGTTTTGCGATGAAGAGCTTGTGCCAGCTTTGCTATTTTTAGGTCTTGAGATTTCTGATTCCTCCGATGGCTCTATTTGTCTCAATCCAAGTATGCCTCTGATCTTCTTAATCGAGCCGGTCTCACTAATTGTCAGACAAATTGCACACTTCTTGATTATGATTTTTGTCTTACTCCACTGGATGGCTCTCTTCTTGAGGATCCTACGTTATATCGTCAGCTTGTTGAGAGTTTGATACATTTGACTGTCATTCAGCTGGATATAGCTGATGATGTTCATATTGTGAGTTAGTTTATGGCTGCTCCGAGAACCACGCATCATTCTGCTGTGTTACACATTCTTCGTTATGTGAAGGGCATTCTATTGCATGGTTTTCACTTCTCGGCACGTTCTTCCTTGACACTTAATGCAGATTGGGCTGGAGATCCTATTGATCATCGTTCCATTACTGGGTACTTCTTCTTTCTGGGTGATTCACTCGTCTCTTGGCGTAGTATGAAGCAAACCTTAGTCTGAGTATCGTGCTCTTGTTGATTCCACCTCCTTATAGTTGCGTCGACTACATACTGACCTCGGTGCATCTCAGTCGTTGTCTACAACTCTACATTGTGATAGTCAGAGTGTTATAAAGATGTCTCGTAATGATACTTTTCATGAGCGCACCAAACATATTGAGATTGGTTGTCACTTCATTTGACAACATATTGCACATGTGACTGTGAAGTTTGCTTTTGTATCCTCTACGGATCAACCAGCAGATGTCTTCACGAAGTCTCTCATTCTCGGTTGCTTTTGTTTACTTCTTAGCAAACTCAAGTTAATCTCCACTATACCACCTTAAGTTTGAAGGAGAATTTAGTTACATAGTCGTAATATTATGTATTATAGGATTAGGTTAGAATAATGCCCAATGTAAGTGAGGCTCGTCTATTTTTTTCCAATATAATTTATCAGTACAAACTAGTAAGAACACAAATTTAGTTTTATATGTGACCTTGTATTTACATTGTTACATTACATACCAAAAGAACAAAGAAAAGGAAAATATTGACACCAACTATTAAATACGTAATAAATATCAATTTGAAGCATCGAAATTCACTAAAACTATAACGTTACCGTTGCATATGATACTGTCAGCATTTAGAAGTCACCACATATCACAGTCTACCAACAAACAAACACAGCAAAATAAAATAACAGACTGACACACAATATTTAATTCCATGTTCCCATGACCAAATTAACCTCAGAAAAAAAAACAAGAAAATATATAAAGATCCAAAAATATTCAAATTCAATCAACACATTAAAAAAAAAAAAAAAAAAATCATTCTACATTAAATCATTATTCCTTCTTCATTTTAATTATTATTTATTATTATTATTATTATTATTTATTATTATTTTGTTATATTTCCATGTCATCAATTCAAACTTCATTACTGACCATAGCCTTATTATTGAGAAGCATGGAGTTCTTGCAATGGGCAATCGCACCCTGAATCGCGCTCTGCAGCTCCTCCATAGACGACGCATCCGCGTTGTACATTCCGACCCGACCCGTTCTGGGGTACCCGAATCCGTACCCGAACCCGCTTTTGGCGTGGCTGGGCGAAGACCCCATTGACGACGGGCAGCTCGACACGTAGCTTCGTGCTCTCACAGGGTACAACCTAAGATTCCCCGAAAAAGATTGTAAGATGCTTGCCTGCCCGTCTTTTTCCTTATTGTCATCCGCCGCCATGATTCTTGATGCCGCCGCCGCCGGCGGAGGAGGAGGAGAGGTTTTCTGTTTTTGTGAGAGCTTCTCGTACAGGGGTTTCACTTTCTTCAGGTACCTGCGAATCATCTCCTTCGCAC